ATTGCCACGTGCCCCCAGGGGGTGAGAGCCGCTGCTTCAGGGGGTGCAGTGTTTGGTAAACTCTTGGTCCCTGAGCCAATGTCTCTCTCGAGGCGTGCGTCTACGAGTCACAACGCCGCCTGCGACCTGTCCAGCTACTCGACGCAAACCGGCGACCTCTGGATCGCAAATCCAGAGGTCTCAGTTGCTGGCTAACCCTCTCCACCACCGCAATTCCCTTTGCTTGTCACTGACTGACAAGTTGTCAGTAAAAAAATAAACAATGTAGACGTGTGGTGCTTGACATATCTCTGTGGTACTCCTGGCAAAATATTTTTTTAACAGGTACCGGTTATGCAAAACTAGCAGGAAGTACCCGGCGTTGCCCGAGGGAAAATTTATTTAAAAATTTCTCAAAACTTAAAAACATAACATATACAAATGAAAAGAAAACTTTGATCGTCACCTCATTAATGAAAATTAAAATAAAACCCAACGCGCGGTGGAAAAAAAACTTACGCTCGCGCGCCAAGATTCGATTGTTTAAATCACGCAAAGGAATCGAAGGTTGTAGATTTCTTTAGAATCGGCCTATTCCCGTTTAATCGATACCACAAACGCTCACAAGATATCGATTCTCGCCAGTCCTGTTTGCGGGTTGACGCCTCACACACTTCATGGTTATTCCCCCCCCCCCACCCCCCAAAAAAGATTTAAAAGTCTATTTTTATAATTTTTGCATGGTGTACAGTCTGGAAGCTACCCACATGGCAAGTTTCAAGTTTGTTGCATGTCGGGAAGTATGCTAAACATTTAGAGCAGAAGATATTGCCGGGCTGGTAGATGTCGGTGCATACACGTAGGGTGAGCGGGCCCTTTGTTGTTTTCTCTTTTGTATATCGTGCGCTTTGTAACAAGCTGAATGTTATTCTGAAATACTCGTTTATATTGTGACGTAATTACATTATTTAGATTATAAGTCTTGGGTTCTGGAGTTGCTTTTTTATTGGTGCTGTTGAGATCTAGATCAAGAGACTGCGATAATCATTGATTGTAATATTTACGTCGTTATTAAGACCTACCTACACGACACATCTTCCCCACGTGTCCCTTCACCAACCCGCACTCATCAGCGTGGTGAAGTATGGTCATCAACGGCCATGAATGCTGACACGCTGCAGGGAGGTCTTCATCCAGCAGGCGGTTGACAAATGGCTTTAAACAATGGTTGTTGCCGTTGTTTTTTGTAAACTGAATTGTTCACACACTGGCCAACTCTGGAAGACGCTAGATGGTGGGTTTTGAGAGAGTGGGAGTCCCGTCGATTGGCCAATTGTCAGCAGGTGGTCAGTCAAAACAAATCGCATTAAGCGGGATAGAACACTGTCACTCTCTTCATCTAATGTGGTAACAATACAAAGAAGATCCGATTATCCGCCAATTGGATTTTATGTGGGCCATAGGTTGATAGGCGCATAACCGGGTTATTTGGCAGTTGAGAACCGCTATCAACTATTTACCCGGCAAAGCCTCACCGAGTCTCAAAAGACAGTGAAATACTCAAGGCTCTGCATAGGACAGATTGCTCTACGTCACCTCATAAGCCCAAGCCGACAACACCGAGTTTTTAGAGGCAGTCTCCCACACGAGTACGAACCAGGCTTACCCGGTGCTTTCATGATGATGCGGTCATCCCATATGGAGCGGCAGGGATGAGATTGCGTCTGGTCTCATTAATATTTGATGAATAATTCATCATCATAGTCCACTGAGCCGTCTCAACACTGCATGGAGCCATATGCAAATGGGGGGAAGAGAGGGCCTAGGGAGAGTGATGAGACACTGGCCAAGCACGCAGTAGACCACCACGTCTGACATAAACATAATGGGCCAGCTAGGATAAAACACCATGCCTCTAAAACACCAACCCCCGCCCCCCCTTCGCTCAAGAAACACAAGGCACCGATCATATCAAATGCCATTAACAGTGCATTTGGCGAGCGCACTGTAATATTGCTGCATGGTTATAATCGTCCAGAACATCGATCATCTTTTATTAACCAGGTGACAGCCCGTTCATATTGCGGGTGTCTCTTTAAAGATAGCTCGATCTCTGAGCTCTCCCAATTCCTCCAGGCAACCCCGGCTCCACAATGCTCCCTTATCCAGACGATGCATCATTATCATCATCATCATCTTCACCATCTAGACATGCATGATCATCGCTATCATCCAAAGACGAGTGTCGGCCAAAAACGACCCCGCTCTCTCAACGCAGGCGAGGGGGGGGGGGGCAATGGGAGGCACTTCTTGAGCGATGTCACCGCTCTGTTAATCACCATCGCCATTCATCTCAGCACACATGAAAGTGCCTATCATCTGTGACACTCGAACAAATTACACACAGGCACTCTCACTTTTGCGTTTGTCGCTGCTGTGCTCACGCACCACGGATCCCCCTTGTAAATAGCCGGGCAACTGACTAAACGGGACCGCACGTGTAACGAATCAAATAAGAACACACTCGCGTTGCGCGCAAAATCACACGACCACGTAACGTAAATAAAACATTAACAGCATAAATTGACAACGTGCCACAGCAGGGCTGAAGTACAGGATCCACGTCGTACAGGGTGACCTCAGAATGTTTTTCGGGATGTGTATTTATCCTGGAGGAATCCGATGAGCTATGAAGCTCTTTTTCAAAAATGGCACAGATGTTACATCAACAAACAATACAAACACATGACCGGAGTACAACGTACAGGGAAAGAAAACAAATCCCACAAACACAAACAACTAAACATCCCCATCCTACCAGACAAAGCCCACTGAGGTATCAACCTTTTTTTCAAAAGTGACCTGGCCACAAATGATATCTCAACAAAGCGGCTGGTCATTTTGACATTTATATCAGCAAAATATTCTAAATAATCTAAACCAGCGGTTTTTAAACTCGACTGCAGCCTTGCACGCCTTTGATTCTCTGAAAGGGCATCCCGCACCTCCACTGCTCCGAACGCATGTTGCGACAGGATGGCTTCTGCTGACAGCCGCCGACCAGCTGGTGTGGGGGCGTGTTGAGCCAAGTCCACAGCGACGACTGAACTGTGGCGAGACGACGTTTGCCGTCTCGCTGGGACGCGCACAACAACAACGACGACGTGAAACTCGCCGGGTATTGCACAACTTCACTCACACGGCACACACACACATCACTCTCTCGAAGGCAGTGGCTCTTAACCGTTAATGCAAATGTGCACCCCTTTGGTTCTCAATCGTAAAAATATAAATGTATTATGTTAATAAATGCGTAGGTTTGATGAAACAAAGTGGTTGTACTTCCGTGCCCGTGTTGAATTTGTGTTTCGATGATTTTTCCTTCATCAAGCACCCCAGGGGATGCGTGGTGCGTGACGAACCCCCTGGGGGTGCGTGACGAACCCCCTGGGGGCGCGTGACGAACCCCCTGGGGGCGCGTGACGAACCCGGTGGGGGCGCGTGACGAACCCCCTGGGGGCGCGTGACGAACCCCTTGGGGGCGCGTGACGAACCCCCTGGGGGCGCGTGACGAACCCCCTGGGGGCGCGTGACGAACCCGGTGGGGGCGCGTGACGAACCCCCTGGGGGCGCGTGACGAACCCCCTGGGGGCGCGTGACGAACCCCCTGGGGGCGCGTGACGAACCCGGTGGGGGCGCGTGACGAACCCCCTGGGGGCGCGTGACGAACCCCCTGGGGGCGCGTGACGAACCCCGTGGGGGTGCGTGACGAACCCCCTGGGGGCGCGTGACGAACCCCCTGGGGGTGCGTGACGAACCCCCTGGGGGCGCGTGACGAACCCCCTGGGGGCGCGTGACGAACCCCGTGGGGGTGCGTGACGAACCCCTTGGGGGCGCGTGACGAACCCCCTGGGGGCGCGTGACGAACCCCCTGGGGGCGCGTGACGAACCCCCTGGGGGCGCGTGACGAACCCCCGTGGGGGTGCGTGACGAACCCCCTGGGGGCGCGTGACGAACCCCGTGGGGGCGCGTGACGAACCCCCTGGGGGTGCGTGACGAACCCCGTGGGGGTGCGTGACGAACCCCCTGGGGGTGCGTGACGAACCCCCTGGGGGCGCGTGACGAACCCCCTGGGGGCGCGTGACGAACCCCGTGGGGGTGCGTGACGAACCCCCTGGGGGCGCGTGACGAACCCCCTGGGGGTGCGTGACGAACCCCGTGGGGGTGCGTGACGAACCCCCTGGGGGTGCGTGACGAACCCCGTGGGGGTGCGTGACGAACCCCCTGGGGGTGCGTGACGAACCCCCTGGGGGCGCGTGACGAACCCCGTGGGGGCGCGTGACGATCCCCAGGTTATAACAACCACTACTTTAAGGGGCCGTCCATAAATGACGTCACGCGATTTTGGACGATTCCCCCCCCCTCGTCACACGGCGTCACAAACCTCTGCCCCTCCCCCCCCAAATCATATTTCCATTTTGAAAATAAAACACGCTTCCAATCGCTTAAAACTATTGTTGTCATTGTAGTGCGTATTTAATGTGGCGCTGCACTCTGATGTTGTAGGAGTGTTGTTAACAATTCTATATTTATATGTTTGGTTCTTTCGGTAAAGTCACGTAGAAGGGAAATAATAAAATAATAAAAATATTAAACAATAAAAATGATCACGACGTTTCGACTGCAACACAAGCAATCATCATCAGGTGTGAAATCCACAGCAAGAAATGATTGCTTGTGTTGCAGTCGAAACGGCGTGGGATTTTTTTATTATTTTTTTATTGTTTTATTATTTCCCTTCTACGTGACTTTACCGAAAGAACCAAGAATATGCAGTCACGAAAGCTTTAAATAAAAATTTCATTTATTTAAAGTTGCCCATTTTGATGTGACGTCACATTTCTCACCCCCCCCCCCCCTCGTCACACATCGTTACAAAATCTCACCCCCCCCCCAGGTTCGTGACGTCATTTATGGACGGCCCCTTAGGATTTACGTGTGTTCGTTGTTGTATTAAGGCTCATGATCTATACAGATTCCAGAAAGATGTAGCGGACAAGAGTTCGGCCTGATAATGAAGATTAATAAATAATGTTTCCTGAACAATTTATAAATTCACATTTGAAGAGTTTCATATGTATTTTAAAAAGAGCGGATCGCCGCCTCATTGGCGGTTGCGCGGGTCACGTGCCCCGAAAGGACCAATGGTGTGGCGGCGTGGCGGGGCCCGAGGGTTGCCGTGGAGACGCGTCTCTGAGGCCTGCGCGAGGAGAAGCCCGAGAGTCGCTCAGGAGAGTTAAATCGCCCCGCAGAGAAGGAGCAGAACAACAACAACAACAACAAGGACAACAACGACAACAACAACAACAAAACAACGACAACAACAACAACAACGACGACAACAACGACAACAACGACGACAACGAGACGCAAACTCTTCAGAAGACAACTACCGATCACAGTGACGCAGCGAGGATGTCGCGAGCGCAGGCGGAGGGCGTCATTAAGAACATCATCCGCGAAATCGGCCAAGCGAGCGCGGCGCGGGGATGCTTGGCGTCGGAGACCCTCGTGGCGTTTATGGTGCGGGGCGCGTACACGGCTCCCTGTGTGTGTACACACACGTGTCATTGTTTACACGTGTGTGTACACGACTCCGTGTGTGTACACGACTCCCTGTGTGTGTACACACACGTGTCATTGTTTACACGTGTGTGTGTGTGTACACGACTCCGTGTGTGTAAACACGTGTCATTGTTTACACGTGTGTGTGTGTACACGACTCCCTGTGTGTGTACACACGTGTCATTGTTTACACGTGTGTGTGTGTGTACACGACTCCCTGTGTGTGTACACACACGTGTCATTGTTTACACGTGTGTGTGTGTGTACACGACTCCCTGTGTGTGTACACACGTGTCATTGTTTACACGTGTGTGTGTGTGTACACGACTCCCTGTGTGTGTACACACGTGTCATTGTTTACACGTGTGTGTGTGTGTACACGACTCCCTGTGTGTGTACACACACGTGTCATTGTTTACACGTGTGTGTGTGTACACGACTCCCTGTGTGTGTACACACGTGTCATTGTTTACACGTGTGTGTGTGTGTACACGACTCCCTGTGTGTGTACACACACGTGTCATTGTTTACACGTGTGTGTGTGTGTACACGACTCCCTGTGTGTGTACACACACGTGTCATTGTTTACACGTGTGTGTGTGTGTACACGACTCCCTGTGTGTGTACACACGTGTCATTGTTTACACGTGTGTGTGTGTGTACACGACTCCCTGTGTGTGTACACACACGTGTCATTGTTTACACGTGTGTGTGTGTGTACACGACTCCCTGTGTGTGTACACACACACGTGTCATTGTTTACACGTGTGTGTGTACACGACTCCCTGTGTGTGTACACACGTGTCATTGTTTACACGTGTGTGTGTACACGACTCCCTGTGTGTGTACACGACTCCCTGTGTGTGTACACACGTGTCATTGTTTACACGTGTGTGTGTGTGTGTACACGACTCCCTGTGTGTGTACACACGTGTCATTGTTTACACGTGTGTGTGTGTACACGACTCCCTGTGTGTGTACACACGTGTCATTGTTTACACGTGTGTGTGTACACGACTCCCTGTGTGTGTACACGACTCCCTGTGTGTGTACACACACGTGTCATCGTGTACACGTGTGTATGCAGGCGTGTCATCGTGTGCACGTGTCATCGTGTCATCGTGTGCACGTGTGGGCACGACTCCCTGTGTGTGTAACACTGTTACACGAGTCCCTGTGGGTGTACACGTGTTAGTGTGTACACCTGTCACGTGCATGGTTCACAGTGCACGGTGCGTACACGCAAATCGTGACTGTCGGGTGGATTAAACGATCACGGCCCGGTGGAGGCCGCGCCAATTGGTGCAGAGAAGTCGACATTCAATGTCACTTGTTCTGTGGAAAGTCTTGTCCCAGCCACGGATACGTGGACTTTCCACCACGAACAGTATAAACAACCGATAATTATAAAAGCGTCGACTCAAATGGAAACGTGGTACAGTAACACTGCTTTGGCGTTACCACAGCGCCATGCCGTGGTTTAATGGAGATGCTGTATGCCGTGCAGAACTCGTCATCTGATCAATTGTTTTCATCTTGCACATGGGACAAGTACATAATTCCGTATACAAGGCAATAGCATTGTTGACATTTACATTAAGCCAAGGTCAAAAGGTCATCACGGCCCATGCCACTGGCACCATTACACTTCGCTATCGTGCCCTTGTGATAGATGCTGCACAGACTGACCGCTAACATCTTGCTTGGTTGCTAATAAAGGGGACCTCTTGCAGTGGCGTAGGTGTCGAGTGTGCAGGCGGTACACCGGTACAGTGGCCCACAGTATCACAGAGACGCAGGCTCCGGGCTAGAAAGAGGCCATAAAAACTTGGACAGAGGGTCCCATTTCATTTCATGCGGCAGAGCCCACGCCAATTACGCTACGCCACTGCTTTGTCAGCTTAGTCGTGAAAGCAGGTTGTGAGGAGACATTGCGCAACGGAGCTGATTGGTTGCGCTGTCTGCAGGTGAAGGCCGTGGTTCTTGACCCCCGCAATGGCTTCAACGTGGACCGTACGTTGACTAAGGAGGACGTGCAGAAACTCATCAAGGTAGAGCAGGGTCTGGCTCCACCGTGAGACGCGTGGCTTGAACGTGAGCAGGTGTGGAGAGAAGATCGCGGCCGGCCGCCCAGTGTCGCGGGCGGAGGTGTAAGTCCATTATTATAAGCGGTGACAATGCCAAGGGGCTTTGAGAAGCACCAGCCAAGCAAGCATAATTAGTGGCGTGAAGGTGACATGGTTTTAACCGAGGCCAATGTTGAAGGGCCCTGCGGGGAGTTGACAGACATTGGATGAGGAAACATTGTATAGTTCTTAAGTCATTGTTAAGTGTGATTGCATTTATGGGCATGCGTGGACAGGTCTCACTGTTGCCTGTGTACTTTGGACAAACATTTTCAAATATTTTTTTAAAAGGAAAAGAAATGACCAATTACTGCAGTCAAGGAAAATGGTCAGCTTGTTAGCTGTGTAAATAATGCTAAATATAGATGGGACGGACATGTACATTGTATGGCCTAACGTGGTGAGAATGATGAACGATGAGTCATAGACCCCCGTCGGTAAAATCATTGTTGATGCTATTCCTGTGCCCTGTTTATCTTTTGCCAACATAAATATGTAGCTATGCGAGGACCGATTGCTGGACAATAGCCGCCCTTCGCTGGAAACCATTAAAATGCAGGTGTATTTTGACATGAACTACACAACCCGAGGTGAGTTACACCACAGGAAAGTAATTCGCTGTCATAATTCTGCTTTTTAAAATATACCATTACATACTGACCATCCAGAAAAGAACATCCACGTCACATTATTTATGTGTCTGCGATTCCGCACTAAACATTTTTTGCGCTTTTGTATACTAACGAAAACTCTCTAGCAAAAGCTAGTTCCAGTGATTGCCATAATGAGCGTTGATGCCAAATATGTGGGATGGCATAGCTGGATGGAGGAGGCTTTGGAAGTCAGGATATGGGGAAGGAGGACAAGAGGCAGGAAACGAAAGATGCTGCTTGCCGTCCTTAAGGAAGGGGGTGGGTGGGGGGGCGGCAGTGATGGAGGGAGTTTTAGCCAGGGACTTGCTGCCATTGGGCAGAGGATTAAAGGAGACCAGAGAGTGGTGAATCGGTGCTGTGGGGATTGTTATTTTTTTAAATATAACAAGCGTAGGTAAATCGAGGCACGGTTGGTCTCTTGTGCGCAGCTGAGTTCCTTGAGGAGCACCGGCGCGTCCTGGAGACCAGGCTGGCGCCCATCCAGCGTGAGATCACGGACAGCCGGGCACGCTCGCGGGAGGAGTTAGAGGCCCTCTACCGCAAGGTGGTGAGCTACGTACTGCTCTCTTCGGGCCTCGGATCTCCCACGCACATCGCCGTCGTCCGTGAGGCCACCGGTAAGGGATGCACTTCACTGCGCTCTGGTTTCTGTGCGTTGGAACGGGGCGCCTTGGCTGGATTCTCACTCATCACTTTGTTTTCAAAGTGCACCATTGAAATTGTGACTGTTAAATTCACCTGCATCCGAAATTGCTGGAGGTTGTCATTGTCATCATTATCATCAGCAGCCATGATCTATCCACTGCAAGATGATGGCCTCCCCAAGCTATTTCCGTTCGTTATGGTCTAACGATGCATAACATTCATATAGTTCTCATACACAAGCTGATTTACTTGCTCCATCTCCACGATAGATGCTGTCTCAGACGTGTTCCCTTCTTTGACCAAGCAAAATCGTGTTTGACATTCATTAGTGGTGTCCAGAATCTGATACATTGTATGTATGTGGTCGATGGTACCTTGGCCTCTATATTTTCTATGCTTCTGTTTATAATTTTTGTATATTATATTTGTGTGATCCGTGGCAAATTAGTCACTTGTTATCCTTTATGTGACCAGGAGATGGCATACACCCATTGCGACGCATGACAATGCGTCTTATGCAAGTTCTACTCCTTGAATAGAAGAATGATTGTGGCATCATTCATTCGTGACATCATTCATTCGTGACTGAAGTATTTCATTTGTTCCAATAATTGGTCCCACTTCTTTGATGATGGTCCAGCTAGGGATGTTGCCCATTTTCATACTGCAAAGGCCAAAGTTTACTTTTTCACGTGTGACATCTGGAATGCATGAGGCCAGATGTCAACGACCTGCTATTTATCTTACCCTGCTGTGAGCAACATTTTGGAGCCTTAGCACAGAAACAGACAAGAGCTTGAATAAGCAAAGAGCAGCCATATTTCAATAATGACGGGTGCCGTTGTGTGCTGTGCAGCGGCGCTGCAGAGCGTTTTTCCACAGACGGACCTGGGCACCTTCCTGGCCATGACAAAAAAAGAAAAGGAACAGCAGCTGACGGAGCTCTCCCTCATCACCACGGGCATCCGCCTATTCAACAAGAAATGTGGCAAGGGAGGGGAGGGCATCGATGACTGTGAGTTCTGTGAACTATTACCAAACCCTGTTTCCCTCACTTCCGACGACAACGTAATCATGTTGTTGATAGTCTCACGTGGTTCGCGTTAATTTGGAACAGAGATTCCTTAAATGTGTTGCACACGTGCCTTTGAGTGGGTCAAATAGAACACAGAGTGAACAGCGCATTTGTACGGTGTACGCCTCGTCACAACTAGTGCCGGCCATCCTCAACGAGGCCATCCCGGCCGCCACCAAGCACCTCGACGCGGAGCTGGGAAGCACACGGCAGCTGGCGCACCGCTACACCGCGATCCTGGAGCAGTGCTCCGATCCGGCCGACCAGCTGGTCCGGGCCGGCATATTCCCCGACACCCTCAGAGAGCTGTTGTTCAACTGTCGGCAGCACGAGTGCTTCCTCAAGATATTGTTGGTAGGAAGTTGGGGGGGGAGGGTATCGTGAGCCTGTGTTTGTGACGCTGTGGGGTGTGGTGGGGAGCGGTAGTGTAGCGGTTAGCGTGCTGCGCTATGAACCCGGACACTCGAGGTTCGATTCCCGATTACGGCCAACACCAGTGACGATTATCTGTACCGGTTTTGGGCCTCCCCTAGGTCGACTCAGCCTCAATTGAGTACCTAGTGCGATTTGTAAAAACATTGCCACGAGGGAGACAAAGGTGTCCGGGCGAGGTGCTGGCGAACCACCCCCTCATGAGCCGTTCTGGCCTTCATAGGTGCTCTCTAATCAACCTTTGCTTGTTAAAATATTGACAGCCAAACATGTGTTTCATATTTTATAATGATAACCTTTTAATCACGTTATTTAAATGTTGGATTGATTTCGGTGTGAAATGTTGCTTACGAATATATGATAAATAATAAATTTCGCAGCTGTATGAATGGTATTGCTTCTTAAATTTTTCCTTTTATCGATCTCCAGCTCTCACAAACCTCACGGTGCACCATTCTGTCATTACCAGCCATCGTTAGTGTGCAATGTGTAGTGGCCCCCTTTAACAAGTGAACGGAAAATATTAGCGATCACGTAAAGTTGCATCGTGTGCGGCCGCGAGGACTGGGGTCTGAGAAACACCGCCTTTGCACCTTCTGTCAATTGCATCATTGCCCTGGGTTTTTGCCGACAGGGAGACATGATCACATCGGCCGGAGAGGTGGAGTCTCTGCAGAGCCAGCTGGCATCTCACATGGACGCGCTTCAGGGCATCATCCAGGCCAAGCAGGCCGTGCCCACAACGCAAGTCTACGTACGTCCAGCACGCCTTCGGTGCCGTGTTTGCGAAAGAAATTGGTCGTGAAAGTTTTCATCAACGGAGTCTTTTATTTTACTGAACCATGGTTACAAGTGGACAAAAGTCACCCGGCGTGACGATGACTGCGACTACTCACCATAGGCCAAAGTGCAACTATAATGAGATTAAATTAACGAGTTTGAACGAAGACCAAAGAATATGACTCATGTTACGGGAGACGGCAACTCACTTAGGAGGTATATGCATACAGTATTCCCTTGCTAACCGCGAGGCTTAGGTTCCTGAAAACCCCTGCAGTTGGTAAATTCACAGTTGGTAAACTTACGGGAAGAATAGGGTTAGTGGGACCGAGGTCACGAGTGAACCTATGAAATCCCATCTAAATATTATTTACGTTCACTAAAATTAACGAATGAACACAGCACACTAAATAAAGAGAATTTCAGTGACATTTAAGACATGTTTAATTAAGAAAAGTACAGTAAATTAAATTGCATTTACCTTTGATGATGATGGTGTGGCACTTCCATCACCAACACTTGCTCATACGCTTTGGTGCCATACTTAACAAATAATACATATTTATGAAAAAATGTATATCACAGAGTGGCACGCAATATTCGTACAGTATGTGATATTTAAGCACAAAACAGTAATACACAAATCACAAACATAAAATATCCACATATTTCGTGAGATGGAGCGTGAATCTGACTGTTCGCGGAGGTAGCAACGTGGAGAAGAAAGAGGATTGGGTAGTTACAGACCCAGAGGTGCTTCGAATTTCTCAAAAGAGTTTGCGAGACTTGACGGATGGTACATGCAGCAGCGCCAATTTTGATTGCGCGACTCGCGATTCGCGTATCACTCAAACCGAGATGCTCGCGGTTGGTAAACAGGAATACAGAAGTAAATCCACGTATACTCAAATCTCACAGTTGGTACATTTGCAGTTTACGCAAACTGGCGTATAGACTCAAAATCGTGTATACTCAATTTCACGGTTTCTAAATTTGCAGGTTACTAAAACTTGCGTATTCTCAAACAATTGCTAATCAAACTTGATTTGAAGCTTTCGTGACTGCAGGAATTCCTCTTTGGTTCTTTCGGTAAAGTCACGTAGAAAGAAAATAAATTAAATAATAGAATACGACGTTTCGATTGCAACACAAGCAGTCCTCATCAGGGAGAACACAATTTGAGAGAGAGACAAAACACAGACACAGAAACACACAGGCAGACACACAAGCAGAGAGAGAGAACACAGAGACACAGAGAGAGAGAGACACACAACATAGACACACAGAGACCCAATGTCTCCGTGTAGTGAGAGAGAGGGGGGTGGGTGGGGCAAAAAAAATTGCCTATTTCTCTAAAATTTACCAGGCTCTCATAGGTACATTCGCTCTTTCTCTCCCCCGGCCGCTTCGGGCAACTCTCTCTATTTTTTTTTACTAGACTTGCTGGGTCTTTCTCTCCCCCTGCCGCTGCGGGGTGGATTTTCACACAGCTCTCTCATTGACACGCTAACAATGTCTCTGCCCCAGCAGACCCACCTCTCTCTCTGCCCCCCCCTCACTCTCTATTTAAGGCCACGACACAGAGGCATTGGGTCTCTCTGTGTCTATGTTGTGTGTCTCTCTGCGTGTCTCTGTGTTGTCTCTCTGCTTGTGTGTCTGTCTGTGTGTCTCCGTGTCTGTGTTTTATCTCTCTCAAATTTAGTTCTACCTGATGGCGACTGCTTGTGTTGCAATCGAAACGTCATATTCTATTATTTAATTAATTTTATTTCTACATGACTTTACCGAAAGAATCAAAGAGTAGTTGGTAATCAGGTATACAGAAGTACATCCGCGTATACTCAAATCTCACAGTTGGTAATTTTGTGGTTGGCAAGGGATTACGGTATGCAAATAATTACCAAGTTCACTGGCTGAGATAATAATATTAGGAGGGGTATGGGGGTGAAATTTCTCGTCCCCCACACCAACATACTAACACTTTTTTTTACCAGGTAAGGCCCATTGATATATACAGTTATTTTCAGATGCAACCTGGCCACAAATTATAGCTCTACAAAGTGACTTATCATGTGGAAATTTACAGTTGCCAAATACTCTAAATGCATATTTCAAAATGTCGAGGGAAAAACCGGAGGACCCAGAGAAAAATGCACGTGACCACGGGGAGGACACGCAAACCCATGTACAGGCGTCAGGGTCGCGATCAAACCCACGACCTGTATACTAGGCGAGGTAGTTAACGTCTCGCCACTGCGGTGCCCCATGTAACAACTAAGAGTGTTTGACTAAATGTTTCACTGCTTTATTCGACTAGACTAAAAGAATGACTCCACAGACTAAGCCTCCACTAGAAATCCACAGGCTGTCATCGACTAGACGATGACGAAGACAAAACAAAAACTAAATAGTCCACTCTCAGTCATTAGATGTTGGTGTGAGGGGGCATGCAAAATATCCACCCTCCCAAATGTGATCACGTGAGCCAATCTGAATTTGACAAATATTTTATACACAGCCAATTATCATTTTGACTACATCAACCCTGCTGTCCACGCTGCGTGTTGCAGATCACCCTCATTCCCACCTCTCCGCCGCCACCCCTCTCCTCCCCCCCCACACCCTGCACTGTGTGGAATGTGCAGCCTCATTTCATGGCGGTGGCGCGGGTTTGGTGCAGCTTCCAGGACCAGATGGTGCTGCTCAGCGTCCTCAGCAACGTCATGACCAACCTGACGCCCTTCCTGGAGCCTCACGGCCGCCTGTGCCCAGAGACGCTGCTGGTGCCGCTCGTGGGCAGCATCGCTGAGAAGAGCGATGCTCAGAGGCTGCAGGAGGCCGCGGGTGAGCCATTCAACTTGGACCAGTCTGTTGTTTGAATTTGGCGGAATCGCACGTGCGTTTGTCTGAACTTCCCTTCTGGGAAGTGTAACTGTGCCGGCTGCTGTTCCCCGGCGGGGACGTATGTTGTTGTGGTCCCACCTACTGAACCGCCAAACGATAAATGATGCTGCGTCAGGTCCAGCGTGTGGTGGCATACAATGGCTGAGGTGACTTTCTTCTCTTGTGCAAACTAAGTGGAAATCATTTACTCTGCTGGCCAGAGGAGCTGGGAAATAAAATTCCAATTGATGTTTGATTCTGTCTTTCTGCACTCGAGGGTAATGATGTCCATTTGTAAAACAATAGCAGTGGCCTGCATACGATGATAGGTTACATTCTGTATTTTTTTGGTGGAAGTAAATAACTTAAACAATATGCCTTATATAGAGTATATGCTTACACATTGCATGAACTTATTTGATTAACAGGTGACCAGGTAAACCCAGCCGATTTCAAGAGCCAGGAGTGGTTGTTCCCCAAGACCACACGAAACCTGGACCGCCTCCCCATCCAGTATCGGGGCTTCTGCGCGTACACGCTGGCCGCCAGAGACACACTGCTTCTGCCAGGTCCTCACTCTCTACTTTGTTGGTGCTGGCTCAAGGGACTTGCTGTTTGCTTGTGCCTGTCGTACACATTTATGTACATTTTGTCTTATTTAGTCAGTCTTATTTAGTCAGTAAGCATGCCTGAGCAGACACACATGTAACACTGATATCCCGGACCCTTCTCTGTGCTCGTGCACGTGTGTGTCGTGCTGTGGGGAGCGTTGGCGAGCTGCTCTACAAACATGGCGACTTGAGTGTGATTCCCACTTACGGCCAACACCAGTGACGATTATCTGAACCAGTCCTGGGCCTCTTCTAGCTCGACTCAGCCTCACATGAGTACCTGCTGCAAAGTGTAAACATCGCCACTCAGGAGATGAAGGCGGCCGGGCGTGGTCGTGGCCACCCATTCCCCTCGTGTGCCATGCCGACCTTCATAAGTGCTACTCACTAATAGCTCTTGCCCCAACAGTCTGTTAAGGCTATTCGGGAATGTTTGTACTTTGTCTTTTATACCGTGACCTTGCAGGCAACACAAACATTGGAGTTCTGAGGCACAGGGAGAAGCTCTACACCTTCTCCTCCAAGCAGGCCGCGTGCGCCTTCGCCAGCAACCCGGACCACTTCGTCGGCATGGTGGCCGAGGCAGCCAGGCGCTCCGCAGAGCTCATTCAGCTGCTGGAACTACACCAGCAGTTCGCAGTCATTACGCCCTACTCCCGGGTAAACACCGTCTGGCGTAAGGTCTGGCTCACATTTTTTTTGACGTTCTGTGAAAAATAAAACAGCACGAAAGCATAATGAGCAGAATATATATTTTCCGATATGCAAATGGGAAAACCAGACGCACGTGTGTGTGCGCGTCAGCCGTTTTGCCCTCGGGACTACAAGTGGGTAGAGGGTGTCGTGTTTTGAAACCGCAACGGTGCCCGTCGCGTTTTCTCGGGAAAGTGTGACTTGCGTTGGTGATGCGGCCCGGCGTGGTGGCGTCGTGGTCACGCAGACACGGGAGCAGGGCGGCCCCGCCGAGACGCCCATCACCAAGTGCGACAGTGGAACGCAGACGGACACGCACATCCTGGAGTCCAGCATCGTGAGGTCGTACGAGTGGAACGAATGGGAGCTCCGGCGCAAGGCCATTAAACTGGTACACAGCGTGACACCAATCAATATTGCCTCATGGCCGTGCGTGGTTTGCTTGGGCACTGGCGATAAAGGCCTTTGTGATTCATCACAGGAGAAATGCAGCTTCTGTTTTCTTTCCGAAATGTTGTAGAGTTATTGCAATAACACTTCTGTAATAAACTACACTAGTATAACCTTCAAACAGTGTTGTCACTGCTCGTATTATTTGTGTACATTTTATTATTTCAAATACAATAACTGATTTATTCTACTTGTAAAGCCTCAGAGAGTGTGCCGGAGGTGGAATTATTACTCTTTCAGAAGAGTCCTACATTGGAATGTTTATCCATTTTTTTTAGGAAGTGCTTGGTATGTGAGGGGAAGCGAGCATACTCAGAGGTGGCATGATGTTAATTCCCTTGTTTGGTATGCAGGAGGTCGTGGGTTCAATGCCGACCCTGACGCCTGTATACTTAGAGTTTGCATGTCTATCTCCCCGTGATTGTGTGGATTTTTCTCCGGGTCCTCCGGTTTTTCCCTCCACATTTATTATCAACATGCGTTTAGAGTATTTGACTGCTCTAAATATCCACATGATAAGCCACTTCATTGAGCTATCATTTGTGGCCAGGTCACTCCTGAAAAAGAGCTATGAAGCTCAGTGGGCCTTACCTGGTGAAATAAAAAATATATTAATAGTTTAGTTTAGTTTGATACATTTTTTTGATTGGTTGATTTTATTTGTTTACGCGGGTAATAAACATGAGAGGCGATAACACGGAGGGTTGCCAAATCCACTCATCGTGCTACCGTCATCTAGCCACCTCACAGCCCAGCGCGTCCAGGAGTTGGATCCATGACCCGGCGCCTCCAAATCGCCGGGTCACGGGCATGCGCCACCACGCGTCGTGTAACCGTGATGAGTGTCTCCACCTCCCCGGCAGGCAAATCTGCGGCGCAAGGCCACGCACTCGGCGCAGACGGACCTGAGCCACCTGCGGAGGGACGGCGCCACTCAGGTGTACCTCCCGCGTGAGGTGGGCACGCAGACCAAGCGTGAGGGCGCCACCGACGTGCCGAGGCCCAGCGTCTACCTGGCCGGCCTTCGGGGCGGCCCCGCCGGTCAGCCGACGCGCGCCGTGCACGTGGACCTCACGCGCTACCCCGAGCAGCCTTAGTGGGACCACGCCGTGCCACACTGGGCCTACCCTGAACTACGTCACGTAGGGGCTAGGCGTATAGATAACAAAGGTTATTGGTAGCTATAAGGCACCTATAAAGTTGCGTCGTCATTCTTGTTTGCCCTTTTGCGTTGAATTGCCACTGCACGAAAAATTATTTTCCTGAGCTGATCTTATTATGTGTAGAGTGCCGTTGCACTCTACCTTGTCGATGGCTTGGTGAAATGGCAACCTACAGATCTACAAGTGTGGCTCGGGCTAAGGCTGAACAGATTGCTGTTGTTGCCGTGCCTCATTAGGTTTTCTGACGTTTGTGTGTGCTTCACCGTGCTGGTTCATGGCTTGGTCAGGGTTTTCCTCGGTCGCAGAAGCACAGTGCTGAAGCGTGCTCAAGTCTCTTCTCGTATTTTTACGTGTTCTTTTAAATATGCAGTGGACCTCCAACTGCGATCACATCTTCAGGCTTTGTACGAATTGGCAGAAAACATTTCCTACAGCATCCTGTCCAGCCTGCTACTTCTGTGTAAATGGTTTAAAATTGTAGTCTTTATACTCACTCAAGTGCCACACTGTTCACACACTACTCATGTGGAGAGGGTCTGTCTCTATTCTTGAATAAAAAAACAAGTTGCCATAACAATCTCTAGAGGTTCCTAATGTCAATTTTTATTCTAGATTTAGAGGCTTGCTTTTCTCTGGTGGGCAGAATTAGCAGAGGCTGTTTTGTTCTCAAGCACTCACTGTGCCGTGCCATGACCACTGCCGCCACCGCCGCAGGCTGTGCGACACCCTGGTGCGGTGTTGCAGCATCAGCAGCAGCACTTCACAGCCATCTGGCTGTCAGCTACAGCTGCTGCTACACCGCGTGATATGGACACACGCTATTATGCAAAGCCACACAATCTACTGGGCACGTGCTCCCCCACCCACTGAGACGGTGATAATTATTTCCCGTTTTGCGTTGGCTAAATGAGGATTATAATGATGTGCTGGACAGTGTCGTGGGATAAGCCACATTATTAAGGCCTTTGGGAGGAGATGTACTGCCTGTGGGGCACGACTTTATATCCTTGCAATTTAATAAATGATAGAAACGATTGGAAAATGTAATTTAAAACATGGAGAAAGTAAAACCGTCATCTCAAAACATCGCCTTTCAATTCTGTAAAACGAATCTGCAGTTCCCCTTGAAAGAGAGACACATGTTGGTAGACTAGAAACAGATTTGTCATAACTGGCAAGCTGCCAGCCACTGCGTGGTGAGTGATGCTTGTAGCCACGGCTTAATTTCTCAGAATATTGCCCGGGCCGCTGTTTGACTGGAGTAAGCGGTACCCAAACTCGTAGTATCCACAGCCATACCGAGATATTTATAATGGATGTAGTGTGCCGGAGGTGGAATTCATTTCTGGGTCTCTAACCTGGACAGACGCAGCTGAAATGAAACTCAACTGGGGCTTCTGGCGATTTCATGTGTGCCACTCATCCAGCAGCCTGCATTATTTATGGCACAACAATTACTGAGTTTTCCACCGAACCACCACCCTGTTAATATTTTACGTAATTTTTACCGATGCACCTTTGTGTGCCATGTTTTTTTATTTGATTTTAAATTTAGAAAAATCCTCGATTAAAAATTGCACTACTTGACAAGCTAAGTATTGTTTTGTTGTTTTCCATATTTTATTTTTGCCATATGTGCTGCGCATTCCAGTTTGTGGGACTTCCGCTGTTAAAAGTTTCTACAACTGCGCTCATCTTCTCCAGTCAGGGCCATCTCAGGCACGTGGTCCTTCCTCCATAAATCAAGCCACAGGTTATGGCACTCATTGACAGTTCTGTCTCCTATACCAAGTGCCCTTTCCTCTGTCCAACAAAACCTCACTCACTCTCAATCATTATTTTCAGTAGGGTCCTGGATCAGGATAAGTGAATTAACATTTTATAGTCATTGGTCAATCAACTGCTGGATGAAGGCTTCCCCACAACAGATTGGGCATGAGTGATGCTTGATTAGATTTCTGCGTGCTGCTCAGTTGCTGGTTGGTGATGGTGATGAAGGGGGTGCACAGCATCGGCTCAGATATCACTCGCCACTGATTTTATCCACGGTTAGGAATCAAGCTGATGTTATTGATGGTTGTGAATCAAACTCAGGTCGCTGAGTTCGTTACAGTGTGTGCTAACCGATACTGCTCTGCATATTCCACCCCTTGCTCCTCGATTCGGGCTGTTGATATAACTTCTTATTGTTGATTTGAAGCTTTCGTGACTACAGGAATCCATACTCGTTGGTTCTTTCGGTAAAGTCACGTAGGTAGAAATAATAATAGATCACGACGTTTCGATCGCAACAACAAACAGACGGTCGCTTGTTGCAACCGAAACGTCGTGATCTATTTTTTTTATTTTTACCTACGTGACTTTACCGAAAGAACCAAAGAGTAAGTATTCTTATTGTTGTTTTTGCAAATGGAAGAAACCAGAGCGCTCTGAGACGACCCACGCAATAAAGAGACAACAGTCACAAGCTGACGTCAGCACCTAATTCCCGTCACTTGTCACCTCTCCAGCCCTGAAGCTCTTGAGTTTCGCCGCACAACGCTGCCACGCGCTGCCACGCCCTGGGTTGGCTGCGCGCCGTCACGGAGCCTTGAGTGCCCCGGTCGACCGGTTCCTTCCCATTGGAGTTGACAACCCACACGGAGGTGATCGGTGACTCCTGCGGTACCAGCAGTTGAGTTCTCGAGCGATGTGGGTGTCCCTCCCAACATCAAAATAACTCCTCCAAACACGAAGACAAAGATCCCACGTATAGCCTTAACAGACTGTTGGGTGGCTCGCCATGAGAAGGCAAGTGCTGTTAGCGAGCACCTATGAAAACCGGAACAGCACACGAAGAGGGTGGGTGGCCAGCATCACGCCCGACCGCCTTTGTCTCCCAAGTGGCGATATTTACACACCACACCAGGTACTTATTTGAGCCTGAGTCGACCTAGGGGAGGCCCAGGAATTGTATTCGTGTCGCTGGGTTTGTATCGCAGCGCGCTGACCGCTACACTGCCGCTCCTCCACCACCACGAGCACCTCCACAGCCATGATTTACACCGTCACGACCACTGATTTACACCATCACTACCACACCATCACTACCACACCATCATTACCACTGGCCAGCTGACCCAGCAGCAGAGTGGGTGGCTCGCCACAAGAAGGTTGCGAGTTAAAATCCTGTTTCGGGGGGTTGACTCGGCCCATCATCGTTCCAGGGTCGATAAAGTGCTTACCAGTTTGTGGGGAAGTCAACAGTGGTTGTTCTATAGAGACACTTGCCTCCACTATAGAAATGTGGAATTTCCACGACCCCCTCTGCAGGGCCTGTAAGCAGGAGATGCGAATCGCGTCGATGTCCATTTGAGCAGCAGGAGATTACTTAGAGTTTAACCACAGGTTCATCTCGAGAACACGTGCATACACACGGAGTGGGGGTCCCTAGTTGGATCTGACGATGCAACATCCTTCACAGGTCCCAAAGCGCGGGCCCCCCCTAGCGACTTCACCCCTCCCCCTCCAGGATTTCACAAATGTTCCATCACGAGCGGGGACAGACTCCCCCCCACCCACCCCCGTCTCTTATTTCCGAGTTCGCTTGGCTCTCGGCCCGTCGTGTGGCAGAGTTTCAAATTAACTGCTGCCCGGCTATGAAAATGAAGGGGTTCGAAGTCTATTATGTTAATAAGAGAGGGCGACGACCCGTAGGTGTTATGGTCGTGTGCTGTAGGCACTGGCATATCATGAGATCTCAGCCCTTAAGCCGCCAACTTCAAGCAAAGCCAGACTCGGATGTGGAGTTTCGAATTTAAGAGGGGGAGGTTTTGAAGTTCCGGTGGTGGATTAACAGCACGGTGCTACCTTGGCACGGTGAATCATTGCCGAATCTTCTCGCTGGCGTGGGCAGCCGAGGTGTGGTGGCTGGATATTTGCAAGAGATGTGTGTGTGCGGGTGCTGTGTGTTTGTTTGGCTTTAAATGCGCCCTGGAAACGTGGCATCATCCAGGAAATGAAAGAGGGGACACGTCTCGTCACGCGCACAAAACAACAACCGTAGTTCATCACTCAGGGGTGACGTCGCCACGGCCACGTGAAGTGTCAAAGATCCGCTGGCAGGAGGTCACGGAACAGACCCAGGTGGCATGGGTTGACTGACTGAGACGACTGTCAGATGCACCACCTGTGCTCCCCACTGTGCCAACTCTCTGCGTTTTAGCAACCTGGCGCTCTGCTCGTTGTTGTGAGCGTCGCTCCTCTGCCCTCCGTTGTTGCTGGAGGGCGACTGCCTCCAACACCTTAGCAGCGTCCTTCACGAGCCTCCTCCACAGAGGCCAATCTTGAGACACTGCTGATACCGGTCATCAGCAAGTCCAATCAGTTCCACATCCTTCTGTACCCCATCAGTCCATCTATTCTCTAGCCTATGCCCCATCTATCCCACCGAATAGAAGCTGATTTGGGCATGTGGGCTACATGTTTACAACGACAAACATCCCCTTGTCATCTGCACAGGCTGTGGGGACAAGTGCCAGCACCTTCGAAGGCCGACACGCTCGTCTTCATTTCCCCATCACTGACATTTACACACCGCGCCAGGAGGGAATTTAACGCTGAGTCGACCTAGTGGAGGCTCATCACCGGTTCACGTAATCGTCTCCGACGGTGACTCGGATGGGCGGGTTGTTCGTAGCGCAGCGCGCTAACCGCTGCACTCACCGCCTCCCCCTGAGGCGCGCACCGCCGCGAGGACGCGCACCGGCCAAGAGAGCACCACGTCACCACGAGCCACTTGTTTGTTTTTGTCTCCTGAGCAAGGCCAGTCATCCGAAACATCGATACGTGTACTTCTTCGTGGTCGGAGTAGAATACGAATCCCTTTGACCGTGTTCAGTGGCCCCATGTCCACTATGCACGCGCTAATTCACCTCTGCCAGACCACGTGGCCCCCAGAACGCATCAAGGGCGACACGCTGCGAGTGGCTGCGAGTGGATGATGCTGCGCCCCACGGCTGACGCGCAGTGAGTGCTGCCCCTTCCAAGACGATGTGTGTATGTTGAAAACAAAGTTCATTATGAAGTTCATTGTGTGGCCATCTGTAGGGAGGGGATAAAATACGAATCGGCGAATGTGGAACGTACGGGTGATATGGCGGTGATGCTGGCACGGGCGGTCTGTACGAACGCGTACAGACCGCCCGTGCTGTCTGCACGACACCCCGGGTGCGTACGAGTAGAGAATCTTAATGAACGCAGCGTAGGGGAGGCGCGCGGTGGCGGGGCGTGAGCTCCGGAGTGCGCCTTGTGTTTAGTTCGAATGCATGTTGAACTTCTTTCGCACCGTACGTAGCTAAGCCATGGCAATCGGAGGTGCACGAGTGCCCCTTCCAGGACGATCGGGGGAACCGGCGGTCAGCGCTCACTCCGACGCGATTTTCTCCGAGCCGTCGCAGCCGTCGCAGCCGCCGCAGTCGCGCCGCGTGACACGGCCTGGCGTTGCGCAGTGAAAATAAAAAACGTGTTTGTTGTGTTCCAAGTCCAGCGAGGAAATGAAAAGGGAACTGTTCTTATTTTTTATTTTGAAGAAGCGAAATGTGGAACCGCTGCGGGCTGCGGTGAGCAATGCGAGCCAGGCAGCGAGACTCCAGGCAACGGGTTTACAAACACCGCGGTGCCCGTGGAGGGGGAAGCGACGCAGACAGCGAGGGGCAATTCGGTTGGCACCAAACTCCGCTCCGCGACGTTGGTGGCCCGAGCCAGCGGCAGACATTTCAACATCAACATTGCGAGGGCCGTGGTAGCGCGAGAGGTTGCGCCCCACTCACCCTGTGTGACACCTACCACGTGTGTGTGTCACCTACGCTGTGTGACACCTACCACAGCAATGCCTCACCCACCCTGTGTGACACCTACCACGTGTGTGTGTCACCTGCCCTGTGTGACACCTACCACAGCAATGCCTCACCCACCCTGTGTGACACCTACCCTGTGTGACACCTACCACAGCAATGCCCCACTCACCCTGTGTGACACCTACCACGTGTGTGTGTCACCTGCCCTGTGTGACACCTACCACGTGTGTGTGACACCTACGCTATGTGACACCCACCACAGCAATGCCCCACTCAACCTGCATTCGCCCGATCTCGTCGGATCTGGGAAGCTAAGCAGGTTGAGGCGTGACTCGTGCCTGGATGGGCGAGCACCGCCCCCCGGGGCTTGCAGGGTGCGCGCTGTGGCCGCGAGAGGCGGCAGTGCCGAGTGTCCCCCCCCCCACCCCCTCGTGTCCAGCAGCGCGGTGCGGCCTGTCTCCGGGCTGTCTCCGGTCCCCTCCTCCCACGCGGAGCCGAACTCGCACCGCTCGAGGCATTCGTGGCCAAGTCACCCGGTGGAGCAGCACCCTCCTGACAGAGCGTCTCGAGGCTCATTGAGGCTTTTCCTTGGTAAATAATTGGCATTATAAATGGGAATCACTCTCTCTGTCTGTATCGACGACGACTACAGATGATGTTCAGTGGCTAAACGATAGCAAACATTGGGCGCGCTCCCGTGC